AAAACAAAGGGTGTTATTTGTCAATATATGTTTTCCCCTACTTTGTTGTGGGGAATTTTCCATTCTTTTTCAAGCAGGTTTGTTTAACAGATTTAAGTCATAACGGACATTATCGTTAAGCAATTTTGAAAACTAGTTTATTAAATGCACTTTTGCTAACCTTTTTTTTATTAAGTATTTACTACTCAGGTAATTATGTACATCATTTGTAACAATAAAAATCACACTTTTGGATTACTATGGTTTCCCAAGTTTTAGTTCTGGCGCCACCTACTGGCCATTAAAATAATCTCACGTCACTCTCGTTTGTTGTCTTTATTCTTAGTCTTTGGCAACTTTTTGGGACAGTCAACAGAAGACTACATGTGTGTTACTGCTAAAGTGATGAAACATATACGCGTGTGTGCGTATATACATATATATATTTTATTATTACATTTTTTAGGTAAACATAAAGGATCTACCACAGCTGATTGTCCTGCTGTTGAGGTCGGTTTATTAACCACACATCGTGATTTAATCATTCTGTTGTTTTCCAAAAAGTCCAAAATGTCCAAACTATTACAATTTGACCAGTAAAAAAAAAAAAGGAATTATTTTGATTCAAAAATCACAGAAATATTTCAAAGGACGACAGAATGACCTGGAAATCTCTTTCTTTCTCTCTCATCTGTGTTTACAGTAACGTGAAAGGGCAGTTATTGCTTTGGTGTTCGGCGGACGCGGCACAAAAACAAAAAACTGTGAACGGCCGAACATATTCCCTTAAGGATACAGTTCATTATCGTTGCAGCTCTTGGGAGACATGGAGCACATTGATCTTCATCTACCAGACTACAAGGTGAGGAAGTCCTTGCCAAATGGGCTGAGAAAGGGACCTGAGTCTCCTTTGGTGCTGTGCCAGTTGGGTGCAGGGAGGCAGTCGTGGGGCATCAACCCAGTGTCCAGGACCTGGGGGTTAGTACGGGACACTGCCAGTCTGGGGTGACAAAAGAGGAAAGGATATTTTTTTTTTGGACTTCAGTGCAGGTATCGTTAGTATTAGACACACACACACGTCTTTGTCCATTTGCTCATTTGCATCGTACATTTACTACACCACATTACACTGCACGTTTACCCCAGTGGCCGACTCACGAAACAACAACAAAGCCTGGTTGTAAACTAGCACGGCTACAACAATCAGACACACACAGAAAGAGACGGAGAGAAGGAGGGAGGGAGGGATGATGGTGCCGTGAATTGATGATGATTCTTTTCTTTAACTTCCACTTAACTTCTTGTCGTATGATTGGTCAGTTTCTCCAAAAGAGAGTAAGTGTTAGGGCAGTGATTCCCTCCCCTTTTTTGTACTCCTTTAAATTGAGCCCGCCCATGCTAACACATTTACAGCTTTAACTTACCAAAGTTGAATTTCTGGGCCCCCGAACCCCATTTTGGGAACCACTAGGTTATGGTTAGGTTAGTAATACAGACTGCTACACTACGTGTGGCTACAAAACTTTACCTGGAAATGAACCATAGCTTTCCAGAGCACAGCTGGAGACATAAAGACATAATGGAGGATTGGTATGTAGGCAGTACCACAAATCACCACTGAGTGGTACTGTAACATTGGGCAATGTGAGGAGACTGAACGATCCGAAAGTGGTTGTTACAGCTATGAAGCAACAGAAATCAGTGTAGAATCTTAACCGGAAAGGTTCAAATAAAACCGTCTCACCTGGAGAAAGCTTCGTCCAAATTATCTTTTAATTCCTGTAAGAAAAAAAAAAAAAAACGACAAATCAACAAATGTTTAGGTACAGGAAGAGAGCTCCAAAATCAGTGGGTAAACAGTCCTACCCATTCTGGGTTGGTACTGGTCCCAGCAGGTCTCTGGTTGTCCACCTGATCCTTGTCTAAGTGACTACTGGACTCAACTCCAACACTCACGCTCCCCTCCAACTCCAGTAGGTTGTCTGTGGTGGCATCTAGTTGTTAACACAGGGAAAGACAATTAATCGATTGCAGTTTTTGCCATTACAGGTATTTTATCAACATTAAATGTAAAATCAATGACAGTCTACGGTTGATGCTAACGACAGAGAGAGGCGTTAACCATTAACACCTGTCAGGAGAACAACTGCTGAATGGGAACTGATTTAAATAAAACTACAGTAAACTAGTGCTTTTTTTTATGTTTACATTGTGATTATGTGATCATGACTCTAAGGTTTACCAGCTGCCTGTAGACCTCCTAGACTGTTGGACCTCTCTGAGTGAGAACATTTCCCCTTTTCCAGGCTAAGAGATGCTACAAAAAAATAAAAAATAAATAAAGTATGTTGCACATACACGTGTGTCAATTTAAAAACAAGATGGCTACCTTCTTTGGCCACCTGCCAGAGTTCAAAAGCGACAGTGAAAGCCTGGGCGACAGTCAGAGCCACTGCCTGGGCCTGGAGGAGGATATGATGTGAAAATAGACCAAAAGAGCCACTGCCTGGGCCTGGAGGAGGATATAACGTGAAATTATACCACAAGGCATTAGAAACATGGAAAGTTCTTCCCAATTAACGTCAAGGTAAATAACAGTGATTGTTTATAATCTTTAGATTTAATTTAATTATTAAAATTACTATATTAATATTCCATTTTTATTTTAATCACAGAAGTTTAAAATAAACTGGGCCTTCTACAGTCAATACCAAAAGATGCCACTAGGCGTCAGCATACACCACCAATGACCAATGCGATTTAATTCTTGAAGTCCTATTTGACAATTTGTAAGTTCTCGGGTCGACTGTTTGCTCTTATTTAGAAAATTACCTTTTTGTGCTATTGCAAAATCAATAAGCATTTCTGCAGCACTGTGGACTGACGTTTAATAGAATTTTTATGACAAAGTTATTTCAAAAATGGCTCTCTTCAATCTGTATTTTTATTTCTTCTTCTATTTTTCTGCTAGTAATTTATATACTAAGGCCCGAGGGCCAGATGTGGCACCTTTGGCCTTCTAATCTGGCCCGCCAAACTTGTTCAAATTATATTATTAATTTATATTATCATAATACTTTTGCCTTTTCCCTGAAATGCCCACATGTCACCAATAGATGGAGTAGAAAAAGCTAAAAGCATTTTTAACATTTTCGCTTTTATGCATGACTTTTACATATGATTCATCTTTGTCTAGCTGCTCCTGACCCGGCCCCTCGTCCAATTTTGGTAACCCACCGTGGCCTGCGAGTCAAAACGCTTGTCCACCTCTGAGCTAGCCTGTAGCGGAGCCTGTGAAACACAAAACTCACCACTTTCCTCTTGGAGCACAGATAGGCGTGGCACTCCAGGGTCCCGTTGAGGCTGTTTTGAGCGATGTAGGCAAACACTTTAGCATGCTGCTTGTCCACTGTGCAGTAGGATATTCTCCAAGCAAGAGGTCAAAGGTTAGACACACAAAATACTCAGTCCCACCTGGCACTCTCAATCTCACAAAATGTGTGCTGCCCTGCAGATACCTGTGTATGGACACATTGTCCAAGAGTTTGTTGTTGGGTCGGTCATACAGCATTATTCCCTGAGGGGAGATCTTGAGCGCCACCTCCTGAGGCTTCTTCCCGCTGACTTTAGACTTTGAGAGGACAACAGTAAAGGGAAGGAAGTATTATTTTTAACAGCTTAGTAACAATGATATATCACAAGGTACTGTATATGTAATAAGGTAAATATGCCAACTTTATAAAAAAAACAGTAAAGGGAAGGAAGTATTATTTTAACAGCTTAGTAATAATGATGTATCACAAGATGTACAGTATGTAATAAGGTAAATATGCCAAGTTTACTATAAAACACTATACACACTTTTGTAACTGTTTTTGTTCATACTAGCTTAAGAAATTTAATTTTTCTTTCCGAGACAAGCAAACATATTAGGGATGTCCAATATTATCGATCGACTGATATTATCAACCCGATATTAGCATAATTTTGCAGTATCTGTAGGAATCGTTATCAGTTTTCTCTGATAATGAAAACCCGGTAACGCAATTCCCTGTAACCAGAAAACAAAAGATGGCTTTTCTCACTGTTGCCACAATCCTCTTCACAGCAGCGGACGACAGTTCCTCTCCCTTGGGCTGATCAACCAGTGTCATGCCAAGGTGACGGAGGTGAAAGGTCATACCCTCTATGATGGTCTCCTGTGTGTCAGACCAATTCTCTGGAAGTTCTAGAGAAACGAAGAGAGAGAGAGAAAGACAACATTTTAATTCAAATTGTATGTAAACAACAACTTTGGCTTTTTCTAGAACTTCTAGTACTGCAATCTACAGGACAAAACGGCAGAAGCAGCAGTGCAAAAATGTAATGTTCCAAAAGAATCCAGTCACATTTCAAAACAACAGGTCATTCAGACTCTGATACTAACAGGAAGTCTAAAAGATGTTTTATTTTGAAAATGTGATCATTGCGCTAAAACACAAAACTTAACAACAAATCCCCAAAGGATGACCCTGGGTTAAGGTCAGAGGGTCATTATAAAAGAATTACAGTGAGCCTGGTCTAACTGTCAACAAACACATCATGGAATGTGCCTGTGGTACCAGTGTGCAGGTACCAGGCACGGCTCAGCCAGAGAATGTGGAGAGTTTACGTCGGATCAAAGGTCAGTCGGGGCAGTGCTGATTTGTGTGTCTGCAGCAGACGCAGAGCTTCTTTCCATCTCTGTGGAAACCACCAGCTGCACTGCTGCAACTCCACAACACAAACAGACTCAGACGCCAGAGGAACGTTTGATTGGAAGGCTCCAAAAAAAAAAAGTCCAAATTGATTGATGTGCAGTGTTTTCTGATTTTCAAATCAGACGTATGCTCTGACACTTTGAAAAATTGTTGAGGATCCTTAAATGGCAAAAGTAAGTGCATCTGAGATTCATTTCGTTGGAGTACACTGTGTACACTGCTAAAGTGACACTTGGTTCTGTGTTTTCTCGTAACCACGTATTTCTATTGTACATAACAGATTATCTTAAGCTCCAGCCGA